ATGAGGGCATGAGCTGGGGGTGCTGGAAGGAGGCTGTTGAGCCGTGTATTTGCACAAGGCCGCTCTCGCACGGACAAAGCTGGTTCATGGAGTAGTCGAGGCCGCCCTCAGGGACGTAGCACTTGTGGCCCAACGGCACACGCCGCTGACACACCTGCTCTCCATGGCGACGGGCGCAGCACATCCCTGCTCCACAATCCCGCTCCTTGCGGCACCTGGCGCCCTCACGCCCACGCTTGATGCGCTTTTGGCACAGGCCGAACATGCAGGCGTATCCGCCCTCACACATGGCGTCCCGACGACACTCGTGTCCCTCCGTCACGTGGTCCCGACACACGCCGTAGTGCTGGTCGCAGAACTGGCCGCGCCCACACACGCGGTCGTTGGTGCACAGACGCTGCAAAACAAAGGATATCATTAGATCTGGTAACATCTTTCACTAGTACAACCTTTTACATATATGTTTTCTTATATACGAAAGGAATTGATGTAGAAAGTTGTACTTACCAAGTGTTTGTAGAAGTCGAAGGGTTGATCTGTCGTCAGTTGATGGGAGTTGTGACGGCCGCCACTGATGTCGCGGATGTTATGGCGACCTGCTTTATGGAGGCGTCTGAAGAGCCAGGAAAGTCCTTGTGCCATGCAGGGGGTCACCAGGCACCCCACCGTCAGGAAGAAGAGACACAAGTTCATGGTTTCTTATCAAGGAAGAAGAGTGTGCACTTGAGAGTGAGTTGAGTGTGCGTCACCTGTCCGGCTAGTACTGACCTGATCACAGTCTCTGGTCTCATATATATGAGAGGACTGATCACGTGACGACGCCTAGCACCTGATCCACCTGTTACAGACGTTACGGGAAAAAATAATAGAAGATTTACGGAGGTCAACTTAGGTCAAAGTAGGTACGATGGGCGGGCAAGTCATAATTACTTGCCCGCCCCCTGGACACATAATCCTCTCACCTGTCCTGATTCCCCGTTCCTGTCCGCTGTGGATCCGAAAGAAACTGTAATGGTAATGGATACAAGGAAGTGTACTATTTTTAATGAAACGCACCACAGAAAATATCGCATTTAAACAAAATAACAAATATCTTAATTCATGAATCAACACAATCTCACTGATCTCACCGAAACATGATATTTGAATGGTACCAAATTCTCATTCAGATAACATAAACATAGCTATTATACATAAACAACTATTTTCCTTTAACTGAAGATGAATTTTTCGATAAGCAGATAAAATTGTATGATGAAATGAATATCTCAGATTCACGACCTGATGTCATTTTTGTATACGTTTTAGACTTAATAAATGTCCCTTTAGATCAAAGTGCATAAACTCACGTGCTGATTTCAATCACTTTCTAAGACAAGCCTGAAAATAGAGCAAGGAATTATGAACTTTATAAGAGTGCTTACACATGCCATTTTCCTGACCCCGTGTTGAAGTGGCATGTCATTGTTCATCTAAGCAGGTAATCTCACCTCTATGGTAACTATTTAACCATTCTACATTCGTATGTCTGGTGTGCATGATAGGAAACTATATGTATGCCTGGCAGTGTTTTATTTATGGGATAATCTGGAGGTCATGATATCCTAAATGAATGTACACGGAATCATTCGAACGGTAGCACGCTTCATACAAACAGGAAATTATCTAAACATTCATATGTTATAGGTTAATTCTCAAAAGAGTCTTGGATAGGGGAGCTTAATCCGGTCAAAGGGTGGGGCAGCAATTATGACTTGCCCGCCCATCGTACCTACTTTGACCCGAGATGCCCTGCAAGTAACCCAAAGACGGGATTATGTGACCGCTTTTCTCGCCTTGAACAAAAGATTCTAAAAGAATTTTAGTTAAACCCACTTTTTATCAATACTCATGTGATCATACACATCGTGGGCTCTTACGACCACAGGCCCAACAGCCAAGGGTCTACACACCTGTTCATGACAAGTATGCCTGCTGCCTCTTCCCTGTTCCTTCGACTCTGTTGGTCACTGAATAGTTAAGGAACGGCATGCACATTCGGTGGAGCACCGGCACTGTAGAATCCAGTATTTATGTTTAATACACGCGCATTTAATATGACATTCAGTGCTAATGTAAACAGACAATAAGATTTGAAATACATCCACTAAGTACTCATAAACACATGATGGAGGTTTGTGAATGTTTTTTGGAGAATCAGTGGAGTGGTATAGTATTAACACACAAATAAGTTAATCAATATACGATCAGATAAGTCAAGTTTTATATGGGGTGGTTCATTTTTTTTAATTTTCACGAGCTTTAAATAAAATATCTTTTAAATTTTCTTTTCATAAGTTTTAAAGGGGCTCATGTGAAATGATGGTCATTTTGTCATAAACTTCTAAATGGTGACTACTGAAAGTTTGCCATTTTATTACATTTACCATGAATGATAGTGTTGAGATTGTTTCCATTTTGGTTACATCTACATATATATATATATATATATATATATATATATATATATATATATACATATATATATATATATATACATTCATATCTGTATTTGTGTCTATGCACTCATCAATTATGTAATTAGCTATTAATTTTGCAAGATAAGACAACTGTAAACTTTGGACTTTTAATTTGATTTTTTAAGGCTTTACGGACGTAGTTCATCTTTATTGGGTACGTTTGATAATGAGGGATGATTAAATTCAGACAGACGGAATATAAGGTAAGGTTTATTAGCTTATATAAAATACATTGCTGACTAGAAGTTCATCTGGGATAAATATTGAGAACACAATCACTCCTGACATGTCAGTCGACGCGGTGCGAGGGCGCTGCGCAGCGCATGTCCTCGTGCGCCGACATGAGGGCCATGAGCTGGTGCCTGGAAGGAGGCTGTTGAGCCGTGTATTTGCACACAAGGCCGCTCTCGCACGGACAAAGCTGGTTCATGGAGTAGTCGAGGCCGCCCTCAGGGACGTAGCACTTGTGGCCCAACGGCACACGCCGCTGACACACCTGCTCTCCATGGCGACGGGCGCAGCACATCCCTGCTCCACAATCCCGCTCCTTGCGGCACCTGGCGCCCTCACGCCCACGCTTGATGCGCTTTTGGCACAGGCCGAACATGCAGTTGTATCCGCCCTCACACATGGCGTCCCGACGACACTCGTGTCCCTCCGTCACGTGGTCCCGACACACGCCGTAGTGCTGGTCGCAGAACTGGCCGCGCCCACACACGCGGTCGTTGGTGCACAGACGCTGCAAAACAAAGGATATCATTAGATCTGGTAACATCTTTCACTAGTACATAACCTTTTACATATATGTTTTCTTATATACGAAAGGAATTGATGTAGAAAGTTGTACTTACCAAGTTTGTAGAAGTCGAAGGGTTGATCTGTCTTGATGGGAGTTGTGACGGCCGCCACTGATGTCGCGGATGTTATGGCGACCTGCTTTATGGAGGCGTCTGAAGAGCCAGGAAAGTCCTTGTGCCATGCAGGGGGTCACCAGGCACCCCACCGTCAGGAAGAAGAGACACAAGTTCATGGTTTCTTATCAAGGAAGAAGAGTGTGCACTTGAGAGTGAGTTGAGTGTGCGTCACCTGTCCGGCTAGTACTGACCTGATCACAGTCTCTGGTCTCATATATATGAGAGGACTGATCACGTGACGACGCCTAGCACCTGATCCACCTGTTACAGACGTTACGGAAAAAACATAATAGAAGATTTACGGAGGTCAACTTAGGTCAAAGTAGGTACGATGGGCGGGCAAGTCATAATTACTAGCCCGCCCCCCTGGACACATAATCTTCTCACCTGTCCTGATTCCCCGTTCCTGTCCGCTGTGGATCCGAAAGAAACTAAGGGTAATGGATACAAGGAAGTGTACTATTTTTGCTGAAACGCACCACAGAAAATATCGCATTTAAACAAATCAACAAATATCTTAATTCATGAATCAACACAATCTCACTGATCTCACCGAAACATGATATTTGAATGGTACCAAATTCTCATTTAGATAACAGGTTATACGTAAACATAACTATTTTCCTTTAAATGAAGATGAATTTTTCGATAAGCAGATAAAATTGTATGATGAAATGAAATTTCTCAGGTTCACGGCCTAATGTCATCTTTGTATACTTTCAGACTTAATAAACGTCACTTTAGGTCAAAGTGCATAAAGTCACGTGCTGATTCCAATCACTTACTGATACAAGCCTGTGAACAGAGCCAGGAGATACGGTAAACAAAGATATTTTCTGCTTACACATGCCATTTTCTTGACCCCGTATTGAAGTGGCATGCCAGTTTCTTCCATCTAAACAGTCTGTTCTACAACAGGTAATATTCTACATTCGTATGTCTGGTATCGATGATAAGGAAAATATATGTATACCTAGCAGTTTTATTGAGCTCGCTGTATACTGGAAATTTTAGTAAGCGAAAATCCTGGAATAATTCCACTGCTTACATTCCTCCGGATGAAATTTGTTCATCTGGAGGTCACACTTTTCTCTCAAATGAATGAACATGCAATCATACAAACGGTGGTGCACTTCATACAAACAGGAAATCATCAGAATATTCCTATTAGCAATTGGTTCTAATTCGCAGATGAATATTGGAGAAGGGAGCTTAATCCGGTCAAGGGGTGGGGCAGCAATTATGACTTGCCCGCCCATCGTACCTACTTTGACCCGAGATGCCCTGCAAGTAACCCAAAGACGGGATTATGTGACCGTTTTTCTCGCCTTGAACAAAAGATTCTAAAAGAATTTCTAGTTAGTTAAACCCACTTTTTATTCAATATTCATGTGATCGTACACATCGTGGGCTCTTACGACCACAGGCCCCACAGCCAAGGGTCTACACACCTGTTCATGACAAGCATGCCTGCTGCTCCTTTCCTGTTCCTTCGACTCAGTGTTGGTCACTGAATAGTTAAGGAACGGAATGCACATTCGGTGGAGCACCGGCGCTGTAAAACCAGTATTTACGTTTAACATGCATTTATTCAATATAACATTCAACGAGAATACAAAAAGACCAATAAGATTTAAACTAAATCCATTGAGAACTCATAAGCACCTGATGGAGACTTACGGGTGTGTCTGAACAATCAGTGGAGGGGTATTTTTATCAACGCTGCCCACACCACTACACACACACACATATATATATATATTATAAATATATATAATATATATAATAATATATATATATATATAAATTTATAATGTATCGTAGATTGTACATTATACAACACACACACACACACACACACACACACACACACACACCACACACACATATATATATATATATATATAATTATATATATATATATATATATATATATATATATATATATATATATATATTAATGTGTGTGTGCAGTGGAAATGAAGAACGCCCTGAACACCAAACTGATGCCTGAAGTGAAACCTGATTTGCAATTGAAGAGGCGATGCTGATTAGAGCAAAAACAATTAGTACAGTAGACAGGTAAAAAAAAAAAAAAATCTGCAGCGTATTTTCTAGGGCACATGTTTATTAGAAATATACAGGATACAGCCCCCAAAATATGTCCATACGATTTAAAATACCGGACCAACAAAAAAATATTTTGTTTATTATATTTTTCCCTTTCTTTTCATTTTTTGATTTTTTTGTAAGTGATTTAAGTGAGATGTTCTGATGTCTACTGTGTTTGCCATTCTAAAATAACAATTTACCATTAATAATGATGTTGACATTACCTTTTTTATATGAATCTATCTATATATCTATATATCTATACTCACCATTTATCTAATTATTTATTCATTGGTTTATCTGTTCATTTAGCTTGATAAGTTATAGTCTAAAACTGTTAATATTAGGATCTTAATGCGATTTAACTCAACGATTTTTTTCGAATTGCGTCTGATGTCTTTTAGTGAGACATTTTTGAGGGTTTTACCGTACCTACTGACCTAGTTTATCTGCACTGGGTAGATCTATTATTGAGCGAGGGTTAAATTCAGACAGTTTCGGAAAATTAGATAAAGTTTATTAACTTATGCGAGAGAAATTACGACTAGAATTTAATCTGGGATAAAACAGTGAGAAAAATCGACTCCTGACATGTCAGTCGACGCGGTGCGAGGGCGCTGCGCAGCGCATGTCCTCGTGCGCCGACATGAGGCCATGAGCTGGTGCCTGGAAGGAGGCTGTTGAGCCGTGTATTTGCACACAAGGCCGCTCTCGCACGGACAAAGCTGGTTTCATGGAGTAGTCGAGGCGCCCTCAGGGACGTAGCACTTGTGGCCCAACGGCACACGCCGCTGACACACACCTGCTCTCCATGGCGACGGGCGCACACATCCCTGCTCCACAATCCCGCTCCTTGCGGCACCTGGCGCCCTCACGCCCACGGCTTGATGCGCTTTTGCACAGGCCGAACATGCAGGCGTATCCGCCTCACACATATGGCGTTCCCGACGACACTCGTGTCCCTCCGTCACGTGGTCCCGACACACGCCGTAGTGCTGGTCGCAGAAACTGGCCGCGCCCACACACGCGATCGTTGGTGCACAACGCTGCAAAACAAAGGATATCATTAGATCTGGTAACATCTTTCACTAGTACATAACCTTTTACATATATGGTTTTTCTTATATACGAAAGGAATTGATATAGAAAGTTGTACTTACAAGTCTTTGTAGAAGTCGAGGTTGATCTGTCGTCAGTTGATGGGAGTTGTGACGGCCGCCACTGATGTCGCGGATGTTATGGCGACCTGCTTTATGGAGGCGTCTGAAGAGCCAGGAAAGTCCTTGTGCCATGCAGGGGTCACCAGGCACCCCACCGTCAGGGAAGAAGAGACACAAGTTCATGGTCTTCTTATCAAGGAAGAGGAGTGTGCACTTGAGAGTGAGTGAGTGTGCGTCACCTGTCCGGCTAAGTACTGACCTGATCACAGTCTCTGGTCTTATATATATGAGAGGACTGATCACGTGACGACGCCTAGCACCTGATCCACCTGTTATAGACGTTACGGGAAAAACATATAGAAGATTTACGGAGGTCAACTTAGGTCAAAGTAGGTACGATGGGCGGGCAAGTCATAATCACTTGCCCCCCCTGGACACATAACCTCTCACCTGTCCTGATTCCCCGTTCCCGTCCGCTGTGGATCCGGTAATGGATACAAGGAAGTGTACTGTTTTTAATGAAACGCATCACAGAAACAATCACATTTAAACAAATGAGCAAATATCTTAATTTAGGAATCAACACACAAGGAAACTATATGTATGCCTGGCAGTGTTTTATTTATGGGATAATCTGGTCATGATATCCTAAATGAATGTACACGCCACCATACAAACGATAGTGCACTTCATACAAACAGTAAATCATATGAATATTCTATTAGCTATAGGATCTAATTATCAAGAGTCTTGGATAGGGGAGCTTAATCCGGTCAAGGGTGGGGCAGCAATTATGATTTGCCCGCCCATTGTACCTACTTTGACCCGAGATGCCCTGCAAGTAACCCAAGACGGGATTATGTGACCGCTTTCTCGCCTTGAACAAAAGATTCTAAAGAATTTTAGTTAGTTAAACCACTTTTTATTCAATACTCATGTGATCGTACACATCATGGGCTCTTGCGACCACAGGCCCAACAGCCTAAGGGTCTACACACCTGTTCATGAGAAGCATGCCTGCTGCTCATTCCCTGTTCCTTCGACTGTGTTGGTCACAGAATAGTTAAGGAACGGCATGCACATTCGGTGGAGCACCGGCACTGTAGAATCCAGTATTTATGTTTAATACACGCGCATTCAATATGACATTCAATGCTAATGTAAACAGAAAAATAATAAGATTTAAAATACATCCACTAAGTACTCATAAACCCATGATGGAGGTTTGTGAATGCTTTTGGAAATCAGTGGAGTGGTATGGTATTAACACACAAATAAGTTAATGAATATGCGAACAGATATGTCAATTGATTAATGAATGTTCTGAATAAGACGTGGTTTAAAAATGTAAACAATTCCATAAACGTACAAAACGCACGCCAAGGGGGGGGGGGGTAAACCTACTCGCACGCTTTTTAAATCCTATGAAAATATCGATGTCAGATCGTATCGAGTCTGTGTCTGTGGCTGAATTTTGTGAGCGGTCAATCAATTAATTCATGTTGAAAGTGGATATATTTTAATAGTGTGAAATAGTATTTCTTAGACCTACCTGGTTCCGATAATTGAGAGTAGGTTTTTATGTTAATTAATCCGAAATGTCGCCCAATAAATATGACGGTCCCAGCCCTGGTGTTTTTTCTTTCTGATATGACTGCGCTTCACTCGCATTGAACCCATAAGATAGTTTATCTTTCGTACGATTACATAAAAATGCAGCTACAGTCTTTTGAAGTCATAGGGAGAGATGTGATCATTACATCAAAACTAGTGACTCCATATGTCAAGTTCCAATAAAGATGTTGTGATGCGCTTTCCTCTTCTCCATTTCCTTCCGCCTGGTG